AAAATACTCAAAAACATGCAGGTCAGTTTCCAGTGGTCATCCAGAGAGTATAGATAGATAGAAATGAGCCAATGAAAGAGGTGCACAGTTTACCTTTCATTCTCTATGTTTTTAGCTTTAAACTTAATATGGGTGGTTTCATATGTTTATAATTAAAGAATAAAGAAGACATGCCATAGATTACACTAATTACAGGGAGAAACTACATCTGATAAGTAACATATTTTAAAAGTAGTTTTGACCCTCCCCACTTTGAAATACTAATCACTTCCTTAAACCTAGCTTTTCCTCTATATAGATTTCCTACTTTCTAGATAAGTGGAACTGACGCAGACTAGATTAAACTTCTTACATTTGACAATACCCCATCATGAAGTCTCTTATGTGCCCTGCTTTCTGCCGTTACACCCGGGGCAATATCTCATTTTTGCTCAGCCTTTAGTTCTCGCTTTTCATTATTCTCTTGGCTGAACTGACTTTGTTTAAGATTACATGCGAATATACGCCAAATGGCATGACCCATTATTACGAATCTAGAAAGCTCCAAGTTTTGAGACTTGCACCAGTGTTTTTAGTATCACTTACTGTTTTGTGTGCATGCTTGTCAAAAGCAATTACCCCTGATTCAGCAAAATTCAACACTTTCTAACAAACGACGAGGAAGGTAAACAACTCATTTACTCAGAGGGGTTTATATTTTCATCCCTGCCTCAAAGGAGCATTTCCAAGAGGCCAGAAAGGAATTCAGCAGAAAGGAAACAGCAGGAAGACCCCATGTTTCTCTGTAGTTCAGCAGTACTGGTTGCCAACACCAACATCATAACATTTCAGGGCCTAATTTTCCATAATTTGAAATAGCTTGCAGAGATTTTACCAAGCGAGTCAATCTGCCATCAAACCTAGCTTTGTCTGTTTGTCGCTAAACTTTCTATTCCCTGGCACCTGAACTAAACAGTGGAAGCTTAGCTCTCTGTGAGTAAATCAGAAATGGCAGTGACTCATATGGAGGCAGTGGTTCTCAAATGTTGGCATTTAACCAGATGGCCTGGAGTACCTAAGATACAGATTCCCCAGGCTAATCATAGAGTTACCCCAGTGTGTGGGGCTCAAGAGTCTGCTTTCCAGGTGAGTTCTCCAGGTAAACCCACAGCTGCTATTCTGGGGTCAATAATTTGAGGACTACTGAGGTGACTGCTTAGGCTTCCAGGACCTTGTATTAATAACTAGAGACTTACTCCTGGCTCTCAAATATGAGGACACCCAAATATTAGTGGCATGACCTCTAAATGTGATTAGCCTAAGAAGAGAAGGGCATGGTATGGAAATACTGCTCTTGTAAGATAACATCTATGTGCTCATGCAAACGTAAGTTATGGGTTCAGATCGTCTTTTATACAGATGTTGACTTTTTCCCCCAAGAACCTATCCTAATTTTGTTTTCTAAAATCATTGAATTAATTGGAACTAGTAGATACTACTTGGTTAAAAAGAGTCATACACTTTCGATTTCCTGATCCAACATCATGAAGGTCAGTTTTTAACATGTTCTGATCATCCCTAGTCTTGTCTGTGGAACACAGAGAATTTGGTGGGTTTTAGACATAAAGCAAAGAAAACCAGCCCACAAATCACAATCCCAGAGAACCTAGACAACAATGAGGACCCTAAGAGAGACATACATGGATCTAATCTACATGGGAAGTAGAAAAAGACAAGAGCTCCTGAGTAAATGGGGAAAATGGGGACCTGGGGAGAGGGTTGAAAGGGAGGGGAGAGGAAGGGAGGGGAGCAGAGAAAAATCTAGAGCTCAATAAAAATCAATAAAAAAAGAAAAAGAAAAAAGAAAAGAAGAAAGAGAATTTGAATTAGACCCAGGTGCTTTGAAATTGTATTCCTCCTTCTTTGATTGACTAGGTATCTTCTTAGTCATCAAATTAAAGTTTAGTTGGTTCTGTTTTATAGCTCAACACAATTACTGTATTTCAGATAGGTCTCTTCTGGTTTGGTGAATGGGCCAGTTAATTAATAATACTTGTATTAATTAAAAATGAAAGCTGTTATTCTTACAGCGTATACTGAAATCATGCCAGACCAAGTGGAAATGTCTAACTTCCAACTTATTCAGCAAATATAGTGCCAGGCACTGTGCTAATTGCTTTATGCATACTTAAGTGTTTTCTTTTATTATGTTATATTAAAATGGACAGAACTTTAATTTTAACACCAGTTTAGTTAAATTGGTTTTCAACTGAATCATACCCATTGGCAGCATTTTCCAGAGGGCTGAGGTTTGCCTTATGAGATGCCAAAGGCAACTCCAATCAATACTGAAAATGTCACATGCGTGGAAGGAGGCCGCCCTGTCTCTATGCATACTTAGGTTACAAGAGCAATAATTCTTCTTAACTGTGAATTTGGAGGAATGCAAAATTAGAATGCAATATTACTTAAGTAATGATATTTAGCTTGTATGGATGTTTTTGTAGCATTTAGGTTATATGGGGGTCATTTAAGTAACCCTATGGAAGTACAATTATTGTGACCACTCTTATATTAAGATATATGATGCATGAAAAGTTGTTTTCTTAGGGCATGAGTCAGATTTTTTGAGCATTTGTAAGGGAGGGAGAGAGAGGGAGAGAGAGAAGGAGAGAGAGAGAGAGAGAGAGAGAGAGAGAGAGAGAGGAGAGAGAGAGAGAGAAGAGAGAGAGAGAGAGAGAGAGAACATAATGGGGAAAAAACAGCCTTCCAAGTTGAAAGCATGTAGTTTGTGTGCCAATGTTGTCCTTCCTAGATACATAACATTAACAAATACCTTGGTCTTTCTAAGCCCATTCAGTCATCTGGGAAATGGAGCCAACAGGCCTTTCATAGCTCATAGAGATTTTGTAAAGATTAGAGCTGATCTAGGTAAAGCACTTGGTTCATAAGAGCTCAGAGAATATTGGTATTCTTAACACGTATCGGATATTGGGATTCCACCTGGAAGGTCTGTCTTTTTCTCTCTCTCCCTCCCTCTCTTTCTCCATCTCCAGAATTTTGCACAATCCTTGGCACAGAGGAGACAATAAATAAACATGTATTAAATAAATGAGTGTACCGTACCATACATAGTAGCTAATCACGTTTAATAGGATCACCCTTATCTAGATTTGAAAATGAAGAACTGGCCATTCCCGCAGACTGATCTCATTTGTTTGGATATGAAACAAGGGTATCAGGAGAGAAATCATTTGGCATATGTGACATTCTCTCTCTTACTAAAGAGAAAACTGCACCACAGGTTTCATTTGGTGGCCTGACGGAGATGGAGGTACACAAACCTTGAGGGCAGGATGCTGAGGTGTTATGAGATATCCGAATAGGTCAAGAGTTCCTTGGTGGTGGTGTGTGGTCCAGGTTAAAGATATGAACCAGACAGACCATCATGCTAACAGTTTTTACATGCAGTCTGGTAAGAAGCAGGCACTTTCTAGCTTTTGCATAAGCGAATATTTACATAGAAAAGTCTATTAAGCATTTAGAGATAGACCTTGGGAAGAATCTATTTCTTTCTTTCTTTCTTTCTTTCTTTCTTTCTTTCTTTCTTTCTTTCTTTCTTTCTTTTTTTCTTCCTTCCTTCCTTCCTTTCTTTTTTTTTTTTTTGGATTTTCTAGACAGGGTTTCTCCATAGCTTTTGGTTCCTGTCCTGGAACTAGCTCTTGTAGACCAGGCTGGCCTCGAACTCAGAGATCTGCCTGCCTCTGCCTCCTGAGTGCTGGGATTAAAGGCGTGCACCACCACCGCCTAGATGAAGCATCTATTTCTATGATGAATATTGGAATATACTTGATAGATACCCTTTCAAACTGTCAATCAGTCCAAACTGTTTGGTCTTTATGTCAGCCATATCAAATTATGAGACTCAACTTGTCTACCTTTTAGGTGTGGAAATTACCTGACCTTGCTAATCCTTGAAAGATTTATTAATTAAATGAGGATAACAATAAAATCTAGATGCCACGTAGGATATAGCATTACATTTGACACTGCATGGAAACTGTCTAACATATGTTCAATATTTGGTAGCTACTAATCATTATTATAGGAGATTAGAAAAAATAAATCTGACCATGACACATTGGAGAGAGATGCCTGGATTGAGGTCAGGAGACATGTTAACATGTGGGTCAACAAAGCCAGAGTAATGGCTGCAAAAAGCAGAAGAAGCAGCCCAAATACATTTTCAGTTGTGTAAAAAATTAGGTTAGGATAAGCTGGAAAATATCAGTGGAAATGGCCACTCCAATAGTCTGATATTCACTTATTTAGCTATTATGTTAAATGGATATGGTTTTCCATATTTTTCCAATGACAACTTAGGAAAAAGTGACAAAAGCGATTCAGAAATGATTAACCTTTGGGGTTCAAGCAGATGAAGTTCATTGTCACAATCTATATCGTGATGATGTTGCTACCTGTGTCATTTCTAGTTTATCACAACCGCAGACGAATCCAGCGCTTGTCCTTTTGGTCGTGTTCTGCTTCTAGTGATCCAGCCTCCTGCTGTGACAGACCCCCCAGCACAGTCAGCAAGCAGAAAAAATGATCGACACTTTGAGAAAAATATTCCCAGTGAAGCTAATCCATACGAAAGTTTAACATTGCATGGTGGGATGTCAGACTTCACCATGCAAAGAAATGAGCACGTGCCGGTGTAAAAGGTAGACAAGCTGGTGACAACATCAGAATGACTTCAGCTCCCAAGTATTATGTTTCTTAATATCCGTTTCTGTCACCGCCATGCCTAGTGTCTGTGTGCAGTCTAATGAGAATATGAAACTAACTTAGATTTGATTTGAAGAAAGACATTATGAATTGATATAGAAAAATAGTACTTTTATTAACCCTTAGAGATGGGCAGCGTAGCTCCAGCTGAAGGAATGCTCAGTTCTAAGCCAATATTTTCCAGGGAATTAATGACAGGTATAACATAGCTTATGAGGGCAGAGACCTTTACTGCCCCCCCATAGACTTTATACCACTGAACACGATGCTTGTTGTGTTGTAGGAGTGCCGCAAAGATGGGTTTGATAAGTAATGAAGTGCACCCCACAAACTGGTTCTGACGACACCGGTGCTTACAGAGTTGTGACCGGAGAAGTGTGCTTTACATGACCAATGCTGTAGGGACTACCCCTGGCTGAAGCCTCAGCTGGATCTAGAACCATACTCATTCTGAGGCCTGTTCTCTAAGTCTGCTCCAAGATCATGATGGAGTACATTTGAGCTGGGGATGTAGAATATTAATACAGGCCAATTTCTAAGAGAAATCAGATTTTTCAAAAGGTCTAAGGAGTTCCTACTGAGCTAGCCAATTCTCACTCGGAATGCGGGTGCTACTGGAAGCTCTTCTACCCAGTCCCTTCTACCTGTCCTTTCCTTTCTCTTTCCACAGCAGCAGACCTCATCACCATGTTAAAGGGTCCAGACCCTCATCACCACGCTAAGGGGTCCAGACCTTCATCACCATGTTAAGGGATTCAGACCTGCATCACCGCGCTAAGGGGTCCAGACCTGCGTCAGCACGTTAAGGGGTCCTCTTACCTGGTCTTGTCTTCTCTCTCCAACAAATCTCTCGCAAATGCGATCCTGCCTCAGCGTTTGCTAAGAGAGCTGGCATGACATGAAAATTTGTGGTGGATCAGTCACAGAGAAGCGCAGGAGATCTGCCTCGTGCATCGTTTAAATTTAACCTGTGTTAATCCAACCCTGAAAATTATTTTCTAAGAATGAATAAGTGAAGACATCTTCATCATGTCAGCCAAATTATCACTAGTCTCACTCAAGTGTGTTTAGGGCCAGAACGAGTCCTTAGAGACACCCTCTCCCATTACAGCCATCAGAAGACAAGCCTACAATAGAAATGAACACACTATGTAGGTGATGGCACTTTGGGAAGCAAAAGACTTACTTTTAGCACCCTATAATTTCATGTTTAAAATTCATCCTCAGAATTTCTCACGTGTCACACTCACCACCCTTAGTGTTTAATACCTCTGTTAAGAACACAGAATTTTGCCTCATCTGGGGGCGCAGGAATGTACATCAAGGTTTATTTTGTAAAAAGGCTTACCTTTCCCACTTGGAGTGATTCATGACACACTGAACTTACACGACTAATGTATTAGCAAACTGTTGGTCGTTTGAAACTTGGACGTCTACCTGATTTTATCAGATTGCTGGGTGCATACAGGGTCTTACAATTCAAACAAAGATTATTGAAGAATAACATTTCTGCAGCTGAGGACAAGCTGGGTGTTCCATATCCATTTATGGATGAATATATGGAAAGCTGAACTTCCAAGATAGAAAAAAATGGAGTCCAATGGAGTTTTTAGTATTTAGGTCAAGACGTTTTCAGCAGACACAGTTGGTTAATAAAAATGAACAACTGAAATGCAAAAGATGATATTTGTTCTGGAGTTGAAAATGATTCTTTCCAGCAGGCAAGGGAAGGCCATTACCTCAAAAGTCTGCCTTGCCAGGTCCAAGTTGTTCCCAGGGAACTCTCAGCAGCCAGCAAGTACAATCATGAACTGGAATAACATTTACTGGAAAGGGACGGGGGGGGGGGGGGCTCCTGTTGGATGGCTTTGGGGTGATTCACAGCAGCAATTTACAACATTCTCACAGAATCTTAAACTATTCTCTGCCTCAAAAATATGCATGTGTTTTGACATATGGGGCAGAAGAGGACAAAGAAGGAACAGTGGATAGTCCCAGTCCATTGTCTCTGAAGGATTCTGTGTATAATTTTATTGCTAATATTTAAAATGTAGCCTAAAAGATGGGAGGATATAAAAGCATAAACTGTGAAAACTGAGTGTAGTTCTTTTACAGAGAATCAATACACATCGATAAGGTAAGTGCGGCCCTAGAGATGCAGCTCAGTTCATAGTCTGCTTGGCTAGTGTGCCCCAAGTCCTGACTCATTCTCCAGGACCCCATAACCCAGGCCTGGTCCAAACCTGTAATCTCCATACTCACCAGGGAGGACCAGAAGTTTAAGATTGTCTTCAACTACACAGTAAGTTTAGGAGAGCCTGGACTTCACGGGTCCTTGTCTGAAACAAATGAGCAAAGAAGGGAGCTTTTCCATGTGTGTCTATGCATTGGCACATGTATGTATGTGTGCACACAAGTGTGTGTGCACATGCTTGTACATGGGTGCCTGTGTGTGTGCACCATGAGTCTGGCTGTCTTTGCCCCTGGTTTAGATCTAGGCAGCTCCAGTTTCAGGTCTGGGAAGCCTGTACAATTTGCCTTTTTATTCTGCTCTGAAATCCTCCTGATCAGGCCATATGGGGGTTCAGGTGCTGACAAGCCGGGTGCTGTCAGTAACTAGGATTACAAGAAGTCCATTCAGTTACTGAGCTGCGGTCACTCCGTGTGTCACAGTAAGGAAATGAAAGTCATTCATTGTACTTTTCCCCGTTCCCCGTTTCTGGCAGCTCAAACTCTACCTTCACATCTCTGACTCGGTAGTAATTCTACATGCTAACATTTCAGCAAAGCTGCTTAACGTTGCTACTACACACAGCATATAATAATTCTGACATTTTATTTTATATTTAAAAATTTAGAAATTTAAGATTTTATTTTAAAAATTGCATCAGCAAAGATACATATCCATATATAGAACATAAAGCCTGCAAACCTAAAACAGGTTTTAACTGTATTCTTCTGTATTTTCAGGGACATCAAAATAATGGGTGCGGTAGAGCAATAGCATCAAAGCAAACAAACAGCAAGAACAAATTCCACCACTTCCACCACCACCAAACAAAACACTCCCAAGGCTCTAGTTCAGGAACTTTAGGAATTGATATATATATATATATATATGTGTGTGTGTGTGTGTGTATGTATGTATATATACACATACATACATACATGCATGCATGCATGCATACATACATATTCTAAGCCACATCTGAGAACAGTCATGCGTTAGTTCTAAATTGTGGTCTCTGTTCAGTAAGAATATGACTTTTACGTTCCTTTCTCTTATTATTTTACCCCACCAACTCAAGTTATTTCTTTTTCAATTATTCGTTTGCAGTCTCTTGAGTCCAGTTTGGTTTCACAGTGGAGATCCTCCTGCCTCAGTCTTCTTAGTGCAAGGAGCAACTGTGTGCGTCACCACATCCAGCGATGTCTTCTTTTCTTCTTCCTTTGCAATGAGGTGCTGGGGACTGAACTCAGGGTCTGCTGTATTCTAAGCACAAATGTGCTATACCGTGGAGCTACCCTCAGAGCACACAAAAGGCATTTTCTTAAAACTTCTATTTATTGTTACTTTTTGCATATAATATGTTTGGGTGTGTACAGGCATGCATGCACCACAGCACACATATAAACATCCGAGAACAACTTTCAGGACTGCCCCTTCCCCCAGAGGGTTCTGGGGATTGAAGGCAGGTTATGAGAACTGCATGGCAAGCACTTTGACCCTCTGGACCATTCTGCCAACCCACAGGAAGCTATTTCTAAGTCCACGAACAATAATTGCTGTGTGTACCCAAGCACAGACTCCTTCGTTTCCCTGGTGACTCTGTGACATTTCTTCCTATGACTGACTTTCTTTATATGGGCTTTCCTACAGTCTCTGTCATAGTCTGCTCTATAGCTGGTACTCACTTCTGTGCCAAGAAGGCAACTGCTTACCCCTCACCCCATGGCTGGTGTTTCTAATAACCACTATAGTTGGCTGTTGTCTTGCCTTCCACACTTGACTAAGTCCTACCAGGTGAAGAGGGAACCCTGCTCTTGAAAACAGGCTTTTCTATTATGAGCTGCTTGGTTATGATACAACTGCTAGGCTATTTCTTTCCCTATCTTTAAAATCAGAGTCAGAGTAGGTGAATTTAGAATATTATTTCCTACTTTGGTTTCATGCTTTTAGAAAGCAGTAATTTTCTATGCTTGCACCATGTTGGATTGTCCAACTATCCCACCGCAGCTGTTTTGGCTCAGATGATTTCCCAATCTGTCTGTTGGCTGCTTGTTTGGGAGAAGTGTATCTCATAGTGTCTGGGAGGTCATTTGTCAGCTACAAGAGCTCGAGGGAGAATACACAAACCGAAGGGGAAATGTGGAGCCGTGTAAGAAGTCCAATGCAAACTGAGAAGGATTGGTGAGCAAGGCATACAGGGCTAAATTTGAGAGACAAACATGTTCAAGATTCAAAGGACTCTCAAATGTCACAAACAAAAATTGGGGGTAGCAGTTTAAAGAGGGATGCTTTCGGAGTTTAGAATACTGACAAACATACTCACATCTAAACCCCAGAAAGCGAAGTTCATCTGCAGCCAAAGGGATGTCAGATATCCTTGGCTCTTTGAAGTGGGTTTGGCTTGCAAAAAGTTATTCGAAAAAGAAATGCTGAGTGGGAGGCTAAGAGAAATCTCTGATTCTCACTCCGCAAGATTCCACCTACTGGCTGCCACCATGCAGGAAATTTCCTTCTAAGAGTCTTAGCTCACAGAGACCTGGAGTGAGTAAGATTAAGACATTCAATATAATAGAAAGTTTGATCCACTCATGGTAGGTAGTACATGCGACTGGGTTTGCTTTATTTCTAGTATCTAGGATGTACAAGCAGGGGCTGGGATTGGTTGATCAAGTTGTAACTGTTCCCTCCTCACTTCTGCCATAGATACTTTGGCCCCCTGACTATTTTCCTGGTCTTACTATCTCAACTTTTATTTAGCTTTCTTCAACCTTGTCAGTTACCTATGGACAGATGACCACTGATTTCAACAATGGTCAGAGAAACTTCTTTTTGTGGTGAGTAGCAGAAACGTCAAACTGGTCCTAATACTGAGAATGAGTAACTGCTGAGTGCTCAGCCTTAAATGTGACATTTGTAACAACCCTTCCGAGGCTCAAGGAGCATAGTTGAAGAGTGGACAGAAAGAATGTAAGAGCAAAAGTCTGTGAATGAATACTGTGAAATGCTATCTTCTGGGCTTGAAATTGACTGTTGAACTCATGGGCTCAAAGCAGCTATATTGCTTATGTGAATCTTTTACCAGATCAAAGTAGTCACCACTACAGTGTGGATGAAGAATGGGCTCATACATCTCTGAGCTCAGCTGAGGGGTCATTGGCAGCTTATGCTTCTGAGTGAAGGGAATCCTGCTTCTTTATAAGTGTGTCCGTTGGTAGGTAGCCCATGGCTCTGGTAGGTGGCCCCATACCCATGTGCCGGAAGGTACCGCTTATTAGATACAGTAAACTCTAAAAAAAGGAAGTTTTTTAGAAGGTACCAGAATGTGAAGATGCATTGAGGGGACCCAGAGGCAGTGTAAAGAGGAGTTGAGGGTAGGTTATGATCAAGATACATGAAACACATGTATGGGATTTCCCAAAGTAAATTAAAATGTTCTTTATTGAGCTTTTAAACACATAGTCACCCAGAATCACTCTCATGATCATGATCTACTTGACACAAAAGTATTCCAGCCCAGAATGTTGTCAACAAGCTTCATTGGCCAGGTCAGACCTACTTGGTTAGCAAAACTGGCCCAGGATGGGTCTGAGTCTTATATACCTTGCTTTGACATATTTCTTATTCCTCCCTTAAGACCTATGCCAGGGGTGGGAGCTGGCATTCCATCCCCGTTTTTCCTGTTTATCAGGGCTTCCCCCAGTGAAGTAATTATCCCAATGAGTATAATGAGGCCAGACTGTGGGAGACTCGCATCTGGCCTCCTTAAGGAATTTAGCATATTCACAGGCTGTAAGTGTTAAGGAATTGAAATCAGAGAGGTTCAGAAAATACTCTCAAGCTTTAGAATTCACAAGATATCTCCATGAACCCTAATGAAAAATCACATGCAGGCTACAGCGTTTTTTAGCTACCAGGGGTTGTCTTAGTTGGTGTTTTTATTGCTGTGAAGAGACACCAGGACCATGGTGACTCTTATAAAGAAAAACATTTAACTGGAGCTGGCTTACAGATCAGAGGTTCAGTCCATTGTCTTCATGACAGGAATCATGGTTGCATGCTGGAGACATAGTATTGAGAGGTAGCTGAGAGTTAAAAACAGCAGGCAGCAGGAAAAGAGAGTGAGCCACTGTGCCTGGCTTGAGCTTTTGAAGCCTCAAAGCCTACGCCCAGTAAAACCCTTCCTCCAACAAGGCTACACCTCTAAATAGTACGACTCTGCGGTAACCAAAGATTCAAAACCATGGGCTTATGGGGGTTATTGTTATTCAAACCCTCACAGTTGGGAAGTCTGTGGGTAATATGACTTTAGGAACACACTGAAATTATCAGAAATTGACTAGTTACATACATATATACAAGTAATTTACACTTCACCTTCATATTTAAACTGCTGGAATATCTTAGAGAAAGACCTTATGAATCATACAGTAGCTAAAATGGCTTTCAAAGATTAGTTATGCCTCAACCATGGGCTATATAAATGATGACAGTCTTTGATATAAACGTCCCTGGTCAACCACTCAGCAGATCCTATTCAAAATAAGGAGTTCTATTAGGTAATAGAACTTTTAGGTTCTTGCTGAAAGCACGGAAAAGACCGATTTCTCGCCTCTGGGAATAGAATGAGCCTATAGAGGAGTTTGACCCATGACCCTTGTTCTAACGCCAGGGTTGTTGCATTCCCTAGAGATGGCTTCTTATTGGAGGCTAATTAGTTCTCTAGGACTGAACTTGGATGTCTTCTCCTTCTGACATAGCTGTGGATCCTCTCTAGGGGCCCTGAAAGGCTCTAATACATCAGGGCCAATTCTTGTGCTTGGTTGACAAGTGAAAGAACATCTCCAAGAAAAATAAGGCAAGTCCAGAGAAGGAGTGGGGGTGGGGGTGGCTGGTAGGAGTGTAGGGTTGGGAAGCTGTAAGAGGCACTGCAATAAGGGAAATCGAGGGACTCCTGGGTTTTCATGAGAGATCTAATGAGAGAGAGAGAGAGAGAGAGAGAGAGAGAGAGAGAGAGAGAGAGAGAGAGAGAGAGAGAGAGAAGTGTTCTGAACTAATAAATTCTGCCCAAACAGCTGCCTCGAGCTCTCTCCCGTTTACGGTAAAACACCAATGAGGGGGAAATTGTAGATGGATATTACCCAAGGAACACGCTTTCTTGGAAACATAAGTTCATGCAAACAAACCGGCCTGGAGGCAAGCTGGGAAACAAAGAAAAGACAAGTTCCTATATGGGACAAAGGGCATTCTTTGTCAGGTCTGGCTGGATGGATCTATCATTTTTATTCCATTGCCTGAGGTTCGGATAGTTCACTGCTGCAAGATACCCACATGGAAACTCCCCTTAGCAAATTATTAGGACACCAACATGGTTTCAGCACAGACAGGCTAGGCAGGCCCATACTGAAGATTGCTAATCCATGGGAGTAAGCCAGCAATATTGCACATAGAGTTTGGAAACCGCTCCTACCTATTTGCCTTGCTCTGGGAATGTCTCCAACTGCTTACGTTTTGTTGATGCAAGTTCTACATGTGAGGTTTCCCTCTGTGTAAATCTTTTAAAGATTTATTTTATAAATTGTATTTGTTTGTTTGTTTGAGACAGGGTTTCTCTCTGTAGCCCTAGCTATTCTGGAACTCACTCTTTAGACCAGGCTGTCCTCAAACCAGAGATCTACCCACCTCTGCCTCCTGAGTGCGCCATTAAAGGTGTGCACCACCACTGCCTGGTGGGGTTATCTTTGTTTTGAGCTGAACTGGCCTTCCATCAGCTACAGAGACCTTTCTTAACAGTTCTAGTCTTCGGAACAAAAGTTTCTCTCATCCTCTTCTGCCTTCCCCCTATTCTCCTCTGATTCCCAGTGTATGTATGCTCTCATATCGGCTCTTTCCTGTCTTCCTCTAGTTCTATGTAAAAACCTTACCGTGTGTCTCGCCTTGCTGAAAGGTTGTTTCTATGGAACTTTGGAGTCTCATTCCTCTCTGCATCAGCTGGACTTCCTGGTGGCGAAGGCGGTCAGTCACTAGAGCCTTTTGAATGGTGTCTGAAATTGTAGTCATTTGACCTCATCTGGAGTCAGTATAAAGGTTTCCTGGAGTGACACCATTGGCATAGCTCAACAAATCAAACTTCACCTCTAAATGGAGCATCTGCCAACGAAAGACACCACGTGCAAGACTGTATTCCAAGTGCATTGCCACGGCTCCTGAGCTCAGCAAGCTTGTAGAGAGGGCACAGCTAGATGGGTAATTATATGGTAGCTCTTTGGTAGGGCTCTGGTGGGCAAATGAATGGGTTTTAAAGCCAAGAGGCCAAAAAAATTATTGGCAGCTCTACCAGGGCTATTTTATCTAGGACTCAATTCCATATTGACTAAACCACTTCGGGAGCACAGATACATTTCTTTATTGTTTGATGAGGCAGGACCTCACTATGTAACTTTGGCTGATAAGCTACTCACTATGTAGGCTAGGCTGGTCTCACACTCAGAGAGAGCCGCCTGCTTCTGTCTCCCGAGTTCTAGGATTAAAGGCGTGAGCCTCTGTATCCAGAGAGACACAGTTTTTTTAGGTGATGCATAAACCTTGATTATAAAGGAGTCAGTCACATGAGAAAAAAGTTATTTCCTTTTAAATTCTTTCTGATTACTAAGAGATAGGGCAATCAGTAGCCTTTGTATTCTGCAATGGCTAGACTAGAATAAGACTGTCTAAAATTTTTATGTCTTCTCAAGCTGCATGTGATGGCATATGCCTAAATCTCAGAACTTGGGAGAGAGGCAGTAGGATCATGAGTTTGAGGCCAGCCTGGGCTGCATAGCTAATTAATATGGACTACTACCTAGATCATGTCTTACAGTGGGTATGGAAAATTTTATTTTCAGGCCAATTTGTAAGCATTCTCTCATTTATTGTAAGTTATTCTTAACTACATTACTAAATAGAAATTACTAAAAGCAACGATTTAACTTAAATGCATATCAAGAAGAAATAGACTGTGGCATGTATTATAAAAATTGGTAGTATGGTATGAGAAATTGAAAGTTTAAGGAATAATTACTGAAGGATTTCTGAGGTTCTTTTCAGCCTACACTTCTTCTTCTTCTTCTTCTTCTTCTTCTTCTTCTTCTTCTTCTTCTTCTTCTTCTTCTTCTTCTTCTTCTTCTTCCTCTCTTTCTTCCTTCCTTCCTTCCTTCCTTCCTTCCTTCCTTCCTTCCTTTCTTTCTTTCTTTCTTTCTTTCTTTCTTTCTTTCTTTCTTTCTTTCTTTCTTATTTTTCAAGACAGAATTTTTCTCTGTAGCTTTGACTATCCTAGAACTAGCTCTGTAGACCAGGCTGGCCACAACTCAACAGAGATCCACCTGCCTCAGCCTTCCAAGTACTGAGATTAAAAGTATACGCCACCACTTCCTGGCTAGCACCACACTTCTTTAATTTTTAAATATTTCTAAGAGACACCGGATGCATTGTAATTAATGTAGCTTCTGTGTGATTATTTCAGGTCTGGGTGGCCTCCGTCTATAGACACCAAGGCCATTCGCTAACGGCTGAATATGCCAACAAATTTGTTCTAAGTTATCTGGGATGTGGGTAGAAAGAAAAAAACAGGTAATAAAGTTGTAGACAAAGATAGATGAAAACATATGCAGACAACAGATCAAGATATATGAATGTATGTGGTTATGACTAATACAAGTGGAAATAATCATCTCTGATGTAGAAGAAGATGAGAGAGCTGTTTCTACCTACCATCCTTCAAATAGGAAACAACCCCTTCTTAAATCAGGGTTTCTGTTAACTCTGGGGGAAAGTGACTGTTTTACTTAGGTTTTAAATTTTGTTTGCTTTTATTCAAAAAAGCAATTATTTTTATTTTTGGGGATATAGCTTTATCATGTAGTGCTGACTAGCCTCAAATTTTCCTATCTCAATATCCAGGTCACTAGGAAGAATTTCCTAAGTTTTCACCGTTAGAGGTTTTTAAGTATTCTTGTATGAAATGTGGACAGTCCTGGGGGTTTAACAGTGTTGGGCCTCCCCTCAGAAGAGCAGTCTGATACTTCTCTCTGAAGTAGCTTGGGACTGGAGAGATGCCTCAGTGGTTAAGAGAAGCAAATTCACTCTTTTGAGAAAAATGGGAATCAAGAAGGGTACAAGTTTTCTATCTTTCAAGTGTGTATATGTATAATTTATATATATATATATGTAAGTATATTAAATATGGCTATATAATGTATACAATATGACATCATAGAATAATAAATGACACATATATTTTACATCAAAATACACGAGTAACAATGTCAGAGAGATAACCACTTTGAAGAAGAAGAGATGGTTTATTCCACATCCATCTGGAAATCAGATGGCCATGATACATTGAGGAGACACTATTGGCATATGTCATGAGTGTTGTTATCTTCATTTTATTTTTTGTTGACTAATTAAGAAATTGGGTATTTATTTTGAGACAAGGTCTCACTGCGTAGACTTGCTAGTGTCAGGCTCCTTAAGAAACCTGTCTAACCTTGAGCTTGTGGTGGTCCTTCTGCCTCTGCACTGACTGCTGGATTTTAAGTGTGCATCGCCACACTGATCCCTCACCCTCGTTGTATTAGGTCAAGTTTAACGAAGCCTAAACTGGATTTGTGTTCTGATGGTTTATCCCCTTCCTGCACTGATCTTGAAGATTTCGTGTATGCCCTGAATATGTCCTACAAGTTGCACTTTGTAATGAGACGTAATTATTTTCCAAAAGCTGCCTCCTAGCCCCTTGTGGAATGCCCTGCAAATGAAGAGCTTCAGGGAAGAGATGAATCGGTAGGTGGGTAGGCGAATAAATTACTTGTTTAATTTTTCTCCACGGTTAAAAATTTTCCACCCCATAAAAATCTGATGGGCTTTCAGTGTTCTGAAGTGTAAAACTGGCGAAGACGTCAGTTTATTGAAGCACATTATGTCACTAGCTCTCCTGTGAAGACCAGGGCTTTTTAGAAAAATGGTGTCTTTTCACACGCACAACCAGAGTGTGAGCGTGAGACTGAAGGAGGGAAAAGCTCCCTGGAGGAGTGCCTAGCCAAGAGGAAGGTGGAAAATAGGCTCTTTCATACTGCGGTCCAGTCATTGGGATTTGAAGCCGGACAGTGTCTTAGTCTTCTTTTGTTTTAATAGGAGCAATAGGAACCATCTAGAATTTCCAAGAAGAATCCGCAATAATTTCCTTGAGAATTCTAGTGCAGGGGAGACATTGATTAAATGGATTCTTTTATTTACCCAGTTTCTGCCTGGTTTCTATTAAATGTTCTCGCCTATGATTTAAAAAGAGGAAGGAAAGAATAAAGGCGTGAGTTCATGCTTTAATTATCCAATCTGACCTGTTCCCACCACTCTACGGCCACCGTCAATTGAAAAATATAGAATGTGTTTATTCCTTTCTGTTTAATCTGCTGCATGTTTGATTCATGCTGCCCCTTCTAGGGGGAAATTGATGACTACAATGGCTGTGGGATCTCAGAGATTAATTGTCTGTTTTGAGAACAGTACGTTTTCCCTTGGCTTTCCCATTTGTCGAATGAATTTTATCTAGTGGCAGGTAATAGCTTCAGGAGCCATCAACATGCAGTCTCTCTTATGTTCCCCCAGTATCTTCTGTTGCATCCCAAGAACTGAGTTAAGGTTAAGGTGAACAAAGTCACCGCTCTTTTCACTTTTGTGCCGTATTTCCACCTCATGTCCTTGAATGCCAACCCACCTGACTTCTCATCCCTCATCTGCCTCTCTGGCTAGGGTTCCTTCCAGATGAATGTGTCCCGGAAAGTTGTGATTTTGTTTTGACTGAGAACGAACTAAGAATGGAGAACGGAGAACAGTTTATACGTGAAAGAATTCTGGACTGTCCTACGGAAAGCAACACTCACCCAATATCCCCAGATAGTGTTGGAAATTAACCTCTCCAGGCCGTTCTCCCCATCTGCAAAGGAGAAATTGCAATGCCTTCATCCTGGGGCTGTTTTGGGAATCAAAGAGAATGCAGAGTGCCAAAAGTGATCACGCTGTCTCTCACAAATGAGGGTCGCTGTGTTTCTGAAAACAATAGCTAATCTCTAAGGTCTCTGATAGACTCAGCCTTCTGCTGCTGCTGATCATTTTTCAACCATGCTGAGCAAATCATATGGTGAAGGTAGCAAAGAAGAAAGAGGTCAATGGCTGTGGGCGGGCGATAGAGACTGACGTGGATTTTAGTGTTTCTCCCTAGTCTTTTGAATGCTCTCCACACAAGCATAGCCAGCTCTCCATCCTGCTCCGGGCCTCTCTACTGCACGGTCACAGTTTTGCCAGGATGTCACAACTCCTTTCTTAAAACTGTCAGCTCTGTGAACTACACCTCACGTGCTTAGAGTATTCATTCAAGACTTCATCTCTCCTAGTTCCTCTTCATACACATACATTTCAGTCCCCAAAGGGCGTATTTGATTCCCATTACATGTTCTGTTTTTCCTGCCCCGACTTATTTGTGTGCAATTTCCCTTCCCACAAATCTGTGGATTAGCATGATTCAAGTATGACCTTTCCTAAAGAGTCTTCCTTAATCTTACAAGAAGAAATTACTCCACTTATGGAATTGCTAGGCTATTTTTGCATACCTCTATAGTGACCACCAAATCTTTCTATACTATACTTATTTTAAGTAGCAAAAGCAGTTCAATTTTTGTTCCATGTAAGAGACCTAAAATTCTCGTGATGAGTAAGTGAATGGCTAAAGGTATTGTTGCCAAGATTTCTGAGCATGGATGGAAGGAAATTATATGTACTGATAGTTCCATAGAGGAGCTTAAGCAACCAGCTAAATAGAAAGATATAATGCAATTGGCAGCCATGTCTCATCTTGGCTATTGAGGATTTGGATAACCCTCAAAGGATAAGAACAGTAGAAAGTAACGTAAGACCTCATTGCTCGCAAAGTAGATTTTAGACAGGTACGGAAATTATTTCATTTTACATTTAAAAACAAGGCCAGCTGGCCTGGCTCTGAAAAAGCCTGGGTTAAAACCGGACTCGCTGAACATAGTGGACAATGAGGACTACTGAGAACTCAAGATCAATGGCAATGGGTTTTTGATCCTACTGCACGTATTGGCTTTGTGGGAGCCTAGGCAGTTTGGATGCTCACCTTACTAGACCTGGATGGAGGTGGGTGGTCCTTGGACTTCCCACAAGGCAGGGAACCCTGATTGCTCTTTGGGCTGA